TAATTTGGATCCTTGTGATTTCTTAGGAAGATTTTAATGACTTCCTTGAAAGCTGTTCATGCCTATTTTTCGGTTTGCGTCATTATGTCTTCAAATATGGTAAATTTTACCAACTTCCTTATCTGTGGTTCATCAAATCTTCCTTCCTTAATATTTGAATCTCATATTCCTAGAATTGTCTTGCATATATATTTGTAGCAGCTACCATCCTTGTTTAAAGACTTTACATATTGCTTCACAAGTCCCAATTTTATGTATAAAGGAGGAAGAAGAACATTTTTTGGATTCAGTAGACTGTTGTAGTATATTTTTGGATCCTGGAACAAGATTCTCTCTCAGTTTATAATATTATTTTTGTTAAGTGGTTAGATCGTGCTTTGCTGTCCCATTCATATAACGAACATGGCAGCTTCGTGTGTCCGGACTGTTGACTAAGAAGCATGCCGATAACTTTAAGATCTTTGCACTCTTGCCATTTATTCTCTATACTATTTCACTTTCTATGGAATTAATTTCATGTTCTCGTATGCTTCTTTGAGAAGAACTGAATTGACAATAAGAACTGACGAATATTTGTTCCCATTGTACAAAATTAAAGCTTTCATACTTTTGAGAAGTCTATAGAATGCCGCCAATAACTTATAATGTGTTTTTCACCCCCCAAAACATTCACTAAACCAGCAAGATCATTGCAGAATGTAATATTCTCTTCTTGACTAAAGGACGGGTCAAATATCTCTTCACGGTGTCTATACCATCTAAATGATGTTCCTGAAGCTAGGAGATTATTTTCTTTTAGTGTTGATCCCATTATTTGATCAGCAGTCTTAGAAAGATCTAAGTTTCTTAACAACTCATTAAGTGAATTTTGCGTGACTTGTTGTGACTGCTTGACATCCTCTTCTTGTACTGGATTTGAATCACTGCAATTGTCTTCAGAGTTTTTTTCAGAATCTGAAAATGATTCGTTTCCAAATGTTTCAAGTAGGTTCATCAAACTGGTGGATGGTACTGAACAGACGACACTCAGCATCACGGACCGGAAGAAGAGATCTGAACCCAGAAACTATTAAAGCCGGTGTATATAAAATTATGGAGGACGCAAGTACAAATTATACAAACAGGAGTTGACGCCCTTAATCACAGAAGCCTGTCACGAGGCCTTGAGAACAGTCTCCTAAATAGCTAGAAATATGTTTGTTACAGACATATTAGGTAATGTCCAACGACATTTCTAACAACACTTCGAAATACACCACTGAAACAAACTCAAATTCTTTATGCACTCTGGTCACCCCTCTCGCTCTTCCCTTTACCGCGACGCCTGTGTGCGCGTCTCGTCTCGTCTCGTCCCGGCCCGGTCCAGCCCGACCCGACCCGACCCGACCCGACCCGACCAGACACGACCACACATGACCAGACACGGCCTGAACTACATTTCTGGGACCTTTTTCATTAAAAAGTTGATTAAAAAGCCGTTCCATGTATTTTCTGGTTGAAAGTCTGTGTCAATCCACTTATTTAACATTTTTCAATTTCTTTTAGGAGTCACATTCACTAATACGGTTACTTCATTAAACCAGCATTCTAGTTATGAAGGTTTCAAACCAAATTAAAAGCTACTTTTCTAGTTGTTTGTTTACGAATAAGAAAAATACCAATAACATCAGCAGCCATCAGCGTCAGTGCGATGGTGATTTGAATGATTTTTACCGTCACCGAAAATACAATTATTTTTCTGTTCCTACTTTAACTTTTTACTAAGTGAACGGTTGTGACAGCACTTAATAAACGAACAAAATCAGGCCGAGATTTATATCTAACATTTAATGCATTTATTTGGACGTTCTAGGAGTGTATTGATGATGTGGTTCCTGACCTTTGAAACCTCTCATGCAAAAATATTAATGACATAATTACCTCTATTTCAGCTTCTATAATGTATAATGTAACGCCTCACAGGCATGGAAAATTCGTAGAAGTCCTCCCAAGAAAAATGTGTTCTAATTTATTACAAGAACCGTTGTGCGATGACGTCCCCCTCATCTGGGTCCTGTAAATGGGTAGCGAAAACCTACCAAAACTTGTCCTGAGTGAAACCCGACATCCTTGAGCCTACCACAACATTCCCGAACACCACTTCTTTATAGTTTCTACGAATGGCTGGCGATATTTACGATTGGGAGGAGGCCGAAGGAGAAAGCGGGAGAAGTGACATGAGACCTATAAATTAAACAGGGTTGGATCGCGCCATATTTTAGGTGTCGCACAACCCTGTGGTTTCTTCGTGTTAAAGAGGACACATTTTGATTTGCGTCTCATATCAACGTCATGTCTCCGGCACCTTGGATACTTATGTCGCATAATGAACTCTTTCGAAAGACTTTTAGTGTCATATGTTACAAAAATTCGGGTAAAGGTTGGTATTTGAGTGTTTACGGCATCATTTTGACGTACCAATTATTGGAATTTTAGTCGCTTGGTCAATGATATTCGGGCTTAGAAATGTACATGGTATTGAATGTCAACGTAACTCGAGTGACTGTGATAAAATATCAAGGCGAATTCTTATTTTGAAACATTTTTCCAATATTCTCTCCTTTTAATTAGAACTTATCCTTCGAATGTTGGCCGAAGACTGTGATATTCAGTAATAGCTAATAAACTGTTCAATTACATGTGACAGAAACAAGATCATCTACGTCTAATCGCGTTCTAGAAATTGTTTATTACGTCTATTTTTCATTAGATAAACCGGTCTAGGTGGCTCAGGGTATGAATTGATGTCACTGCAGCTCTGACCGGGAGGGCCTAGGGTTCGATGTTCGAGTTCGAGTTCGGGATCGATGTTCGTGTTCAACTGTAGTAGGATTTTTCGACTCTGCCCACATAGCAATTCGAATTCAGTAACTGACTGGAGGAGAATTTTTATGGCGGCCTGCTCTGATCGGTAGTATTCCGTGTTTTTTTCCATTCAACCCCAGGTGAATGCTGAAGCAGGGCCCTATCAAACGGGCTACGAACTGTACGCAATCTTCCCTTCCTCTTTCGTGTCCTATCATCGCACTTACTTGCACACTCTTAAACTTACATGCACTACACTACCACACATGTCAGGAGACCGTTCGGGAGATTAGAGCTTGTCGCGACTGGGGCGGTGCTTGCTGGTGAATGATTCTTGATAGAGAAAAAGCTCATCAGCTGCTGGGTGGCTCGGCGGTGGATCTTGCTATCCAGTGAGGGAAGATCATCCACCATCTCCCGCGATAAATAAAAAAAACATGCACTACGCTAACATGACTAATGATCCTTGCAGGTGATTCGCCCGGAATCACTAATCAATCAATCAATCAATTCATTCAGTAGATAACCATCTGAGTTTTGTTCTTTCGTTAGATTTCAAATCTATTCGCAAGAACACTTTTTTTTTTCAATTGAACGCAGTTCACAGTGTTCTCTGTTCAAACGACCGCAACTAGGACGGCAAGCGGCGAAATGGTGGCTGACCTGAAACGCCCCGGGAGCGGCGCTGGCAGCGGCCACGTGTCCGTCCTCTTGGAACGCCCGACGGCGGCGGCGGCGCGTTGCAGCACACGCGGCAAAGGCGCGAGGGGCCGGTGGCGCGTCCGAGTGACCTCGCGCGAGATGTACGACGAGCGCGGAAGCAGAGGACGTGGCGACAAGGCGACAAGGCGCGCGCTCAGCCGCGGCCCAGGTGGCCATGGCTCGCGCGACGCACTTGCCGTGGATTAGTGTGCTCGGGGTGAAGCAACGGTCAGGGGGCGACTGAACGAATACGAAGAGTAATTACTTCGGTTTTACCTCTGTACGTTTACGCTATTCATCCATGTTTAGGGAAGTCTATACTTTGCACTGCCGATGGAACTAAACTAAAAGCATAACTAAACAAGGATCGCGGCCCAGGTGGTTCGGGAAGAAACAACGGTCAGGGGGCGACTGAATGAATACGACGAGTAATTACTTCGGGTTTACCTCTGTACGTTTACACTATTCAGCCAAGTTTAGCGAAGTCTATACTTTGCACTGCCGATGGAATGGGTGGAAACATAAACTAAACAAGAATCACGTCTATGGTTATATCTTGGAGCTTCTCGTGCATTGCTGTATCTCTCTATCATGGAGCTTCTCGTGCATTCGCCTAGGTTATGTCTTCTTTCGTGTGAAACCACAATGACAAAATGAACAGCTGGCCTCGTGACACTGAGAATACTTTCAGCAACTAGCAACTTGATAAAATACGTCATTGCTGGAAATGTAATCTACGATACGAACTATGATTGACGATGGCGTAACCAAGAATCTCGAGTTTATTACTGTCTAGCATCAGCTAGTACGTTGAAATTCCTTGGGTTTGACCAAGATCTATTAGTGAACTATACCTCGATAGTTTATTGTGAAGTTTACAAGCTGACAGAGGGCATGAAGAAAAGGGACGATAAAAGTACCTCTCGAGTGAAATTCTGTGGAACAAAATTACGCCTCCCTTTTCTACAAAAACAGCGAGGATAGTAACATACATTCAGTATAATGGAATGTATCATTTTTTCTCAATTTTTTTCTACTCTTGTTACATTAAACAATTTCTACCGGTTCTTGTGTCTTTATAAACAATGCAAAACATTTCACATTAATGCTATTTGTAGCTCTGGCAAAGAATGGGAAACAAGACCACATTTGTTTTCTGCATGTCATGAGACTCGATATCTGAATTAGTCATCAGCATTTCTGCGTCTATTGCCAGTATTAAGTTTACATTGTCCAAGTACGAGTTTACATAGTACGATTTTACAGTGTACGAGTTGTCTACAATTTTTTTTTAAAACTCTGAGTGATCTATGAGAATGTGTTTACTTCCTGCTTTGCTTCACAAGCCAAGAAAAGCCCTACCTCGAGAACAACGACAAATGTCACCCTCTGAAATACCGTCGGCACACCCCAGGGACTACTCCTTCTTAAATAATACCGGCTATTACTTCCAGACGTTCAAACATCCAACACAACGGCTGTTCCCGCGCGGCGCAGGGCGTTCCGCGGGCGGCCGGTCACGAGAGGAGCGGACTTCGCAGCCGGGCG